AAGGAATTTATTTGGGTTTGGTCACATAGTTCATGGTGTTTGTGGGTAGTGGGCCTCAAAACTCTCCCTCCTTGCTCCTCACTGGGTTATCGAAGAGGGTGCTGTCCTGACTTCACCAGCCTCTAAAGGCTGATCAGCCACAGCGCACAGATTCTGCCAACCACATCTCCCCCATGCTGTTACTTGGGCTGTCCAGTCCAGCAGGCGGAGGGAAGAGAACTCTGAGAAAGAGATTCTCTGTGTTCCTAGGAAGCCAACACCCAACCTCTTCAAATGAAAAATGGGGGAAGCACTAGCTAACTGTTGTTTAGTGACCCCAGCCCCCACTCCTTTAGAATAAACACTCTTTTTAATTAGGAAGATTTGTCACCAGGGACAGTAATTCCGAGTCCTACCAAAACAAACACAGTTGTAATTAGTTTTATCCAGGAAGAAAATTAACTCTGTTTATCTTGGAATAATTAATCATTGACCTCTTTCTGGCAGGGCAGCTTGGGGGAGGGCAAGGGAGTGGGGGGTTGTGATCTACAGCAAAGGGCCATTCCGGGACCCATCTATCTCTCCTCTTGGTTACCCAGCTGTCTGCATGAGTTGTTTGAAGCAATATTCTTAGCCAAAAGTAGTCCACGCTAGACTGAGAGCAACACTAAATAAGGCTATGGTTTTATGGCTTTGGTCTGGAGCATTTGGGGTGACTAGGTATCAGATGGGCGTGAAGGCACACTGCAGACCCTGAGGTGCACTTGATGTCTTCTGTGCCTTTTCTCCTTGACCTCCAGGAGTCCTAAGCATGGGGAAATGATCCACAAGAAGAAGGTGGTTCTTGGCTATGAAGGCAAGGCTGCTGTAGGGAGAAGGGCGCAAGCTTTGGGGGTTATGGACTTGAGATCCAGTTTGGACTCTGACATTTTCTAGTTGCTTGACTCTGGGAAAAGTACCTTATCTTTCTGAATCACAGTCACCTCCTAAAATAAAAAAACAAGGCAAGATGGATCCCCTGGTACCAATTTTTTTAAAAGTAGCTCCTCTTTAAAAAAATAAACAAAACAAAAACCAAAACAAACAACCCAGTAATGCATTAAAACAGGGTGGAGGATCAGGGTTAGTAATTCATATCTGGGGGAATGAAACAAGGATGCAAGTGAGGTACTCCAAGCCCCTAGTGCCTGGCCTGGTCCTGAGTGGTCATCAGTGAACACTGGTAGGTTTTGTTAGCCTCCCATGAACTGACCAAGGGGCCAAGGGTAGAGGGACACACTGAAGGTCTGTCCTCTTTATGTGACCAGACTAGCACCTCACGAGACCCTACTGTGTGTCGGGCTCTGTGAGAGTCCCTGAAAATAAGAAAAAGATGTCGAAAAGGGATTAATCATGACCTTTGTCCTCATGGAGCGCACACCTCCTAAGGAAGGAAGGAAGGATGGAGGAGGGTGGGGGATATTCTCTGTGTCACGACAAGTGAACAAATGCTAAGTCAGAGACTCTGGTGTAAGATGTCCTGGTAGAGGTGCAAGCACAGACTGGAGGGAGTCTGATTTCTTATGCTCTGGACCATTGTGGGGATGAATAATACCTCACCTAATCCTCTGGATACATCTATGAATAGGCCCTGGGGAGGGGCCCCTGGGGCAGTGGAACAGGACTCACAGATGGTGAGCCTTTAAAAACCAGTGCATGGCCAGGGGACAGTGCGGCTGAGACAGGAACCAGAACAAGTTTCTTCTGAGGCAGAAGCCTGGGCTTTGTCAGCTTCACCTCTGGATCTGGATCCATTTTAATGTTTGGTATTCTGCCCCAAGACCGCAAGCCAGAGTCATTACAACATCGCAGACCACGGGGGCTAACACTGCAGCCTCACCTCTGGCTCTTCCTAATCAAGATCTTTTGTAAGGAGATACTTTGAAACAACTACCTAAACTGATTCTTGTGTACCCACCTTCTGTTCAGTCGTAAAAACCTTAGCTCATGGTGCAGAGATGGCTCCTTCCTTTGGAGAAGGCAAAGGAAAGCTTGCCCTCTAGATAAGGGAAAATAATGGCCATGAAACCGAGGAATCCCAGGTCTTGGGCTGAGGCCTCTGAGAGGGCCAGAAGGGTTCACACTGAGCTGCCTCATTGCCAGAGGCAGAGCAATGGGCCAGACACCTGTTCTGAGCACAGGGCACTCCCTATACTCTGGAGCAGAGGGCTACTGCAGCAGGGGAGGTCTACTTAGGTCCTTCCCTTCCCTTCCCTTCCCTTCCCTTTTCTCTTTCTTTCCTCTCTCTCTCTCTCTCTCTCTCTCTCTCTCTCTCTCTCTGTGTGTGTCTCTCTCTCTCTTGGGATTAAGATCTGGGTCCTTTGCATGGAAGTACTACATCACCAGTACTATTCTACTTTTTGTATCTTAAAACAGGATCTTGATAAGTGGCCAAGTTGCTCATGCAGGGCTTGAACTCATGATCCTCCTGCCTCAGCCTTTCAGAGAGCTGGGATAACAGGTACACATTACAATGTCCAGCTACAGGTCATTTCTTGAATCAGCACAGAGCCTCAGCATGGGAGAGAGCACCTTCTGTTAGACAAGGAGCAAAGCAATCTCTACTGAAGTACATGTTGCTAGCAGGCAGTGGGGCTCTTGTCCTGCCAAACTTTACAGAGCCCCAAAGAGTCAGGTTTTAGTGCTTCAAAGGATCTGGGAAAGGGAACAACCAGAGATCCTGAGGACACTGAGGCTTGTATGTGTACACCACAGAATTAAGATCTGTCCTTTGCATGGAAGTACTACATCACCAGTACTATTCTACTTTTTGTATCTTAAAACAGGATCTTGATAAGTGGCCAAGTTGCTCATGCAGGGCTTGAACTCATGATCCTCCTGCCTCAGCCTTTCAGAGAGCTGGGATAACAGGTACACATTACAATGTCCAGCTACAGGTCATTTCTTGAATCAGCACAGAGCCTCAGCATGGGAGAGAGCACCTTCTGTTAGACAAGGAGCAAAGCAATCTCTACTGAAGTACATGTTGCTAGCAGGCAGTGGGGCTCTTGTCCTGCCAAACTTTACAGAGCCCCAAAGAGTCAGGTTTTAGTGCTTCAAAGGATCTGGGAAAGGGAACAACCAGAGATCCTGAGGACACTGAGGCTTGTATGTGTACACCACAGTGATCAGGGTCCAACCAAAGTGAGCCTCAAGATGCAGGGGACACCACACACCCTGAGAAACATCAGAGGCAACATGTCAGACAGTTGTATTCTGGATCCCACCTCTGCCAATGACAAGCTCTGCCAACTTGGAAAACTTCCTTACTTTCCAACTGCTTCAGTTTCATCATCTGGGATCTAGCTATAAGATTTTTGTGAGCATAAGATAACTATATTATACACAGTATCTCATTAAATTCTCACAACAACCTTTGAAATAGGGATGTAATTATTCTCAAATTTACAGTGGTGTGAGACTGAGATGATCAGGTGATTTGTCCAAGGCAACCTAGCCTCTTGTTGGCAGAGCCACTAAGTTCACTGAAACTCAGTTCAGTTTGATTATTGTGCTTTGACTGTATCCCATAATGCCTCTTTCTCAGGAATGAATGGATGCCCTTACATAGTCACCTAGCTTCTGAGGTGCTTCTGACACCTCTAGAGTTCTTGATTCCTGCTGCTTTGGTTCCTCCTGCACTCTTGCTGCTGCAACACCCGCCTGTGCTGTCTCCTTGGCTGGGGACACTGTGCTTGTCCTGCCCTGGCCTTGTTCTCCTGATAATGCCTGAAGTCAGATGGCACATTGTCATTCAACACAGGTTCCGGAGTCAGGCACACTTGGCTCCAGCGTTGCCTGGGAACTCTCGAATGGCTGCATTCTGGGAAGCAGGGACTATCTGATGATGGGGTTCTCCAGAGCCACAGGTTTCTTGGGGGAACACAGATAGGACAAAGGAAGAGCCAGAAGCCATCCAGACACATCCCTGTTGCCATGTCCGCTGGGCCACAGCCACATCACTGGGACTCAAGATGGCATCTGGTCTTGATGATAAAGGAAGGGAGGAGAGTCTCAGAAATGTTTTCACAATGTGAAGTCTTCCAGGTAGAACTTAATCAGAAGAAAATGTAAATACGACTCATTTTTCTCATTGATGCTCAAGCAGCTACCTGGACTGGCTCCCCTCAGCTCTGTTCACAAATGCTTACTGAGCATATACTGGGTGCCACGCACTTTGTTAGGGACTTGGGTGGGAAACAGGGAGATTACCTGTGCCCAGAGTGTTAGCTCTTGAAGCTGGGTGGGATAGCAGTGTGTGTGTGTGTGTGTGTGTGTGTGTGTGTGTATGAGTGTGTCTCTGTGATGTACATGTGTCTCTCTGTGTGTGTCTGTGTATTTCTGTGTGTGCTGCTGTGTTTCTCTACATTTCTGTGTCTCTGTGCATGCATCTCTGTTGTATCTTCTTGTGTATGTCTTCATGTGTTTGTGCCTGCATGTGTCTCTGTGTATTTATGTGTCCTTTGCATGCATATTTTGCATCTTGATTTGCATCTCCGTATACGTCTGCATGTGTATTTCTCAGTGTGTGTGTGTGTGTCTGTCAGAGTACACTGGGAAACATAAAGGAAAGGAAGGACGGGTGTCCCAGTGTGAAAGGTGAGTGCATTGTCATTGTCAGCCTTGGAGGAAGCAGTCTTCCCTGCTGGTTAACGCTGGCTCTGGTAGTGCTGGGCTGAGAGAGGGAACATGACTGTTCATTTGGGAATGGGTCTGTACTTCTCTGAAAAAGAATCTAGGAGGTGTCTTTTGGTTTTGTTTTGTTTTCAGTACTGGGGACTGAACCCAGAGCTTCTGCACTGAATTACAATCCCAGCATTTTTGTTTTGAGGTCTGGTTAAGTTGCTAAATTGCCCAGGCTGGGCTTGTAGTTAGATCTTCCTGCCTCAGCTTTTCAAGGATTATATGTGTGACCTACCACATCAGGCTAACAGTGGGAATCTTAACGAATATTGTTTTGTTGTTGTTGTTTTGCAACACAGTGCTGAGCTGTGTGGGTGCAGACCATCAGATAGACCCCAGCTTGTGCAGGGAGAAGAGCGGTGATGAAGAGGCTGGTGGAGGCGGTCTGGCTTTGGATCCAACACCCCACTATAAATACCTAGTGTTCAGAAGCGCTGGGAGAAAGATCTGGCAACTGGAGGTGGCCACCAAGTGGACAGACAGGAAAGAGCAGGCTGCCCTGCTGCTCTGTGGTGTGCACTGAAGGTAAGAACAAGATTTCAGAGCTGGCACCCGAGCAGCCCTTGCCTCAGCACTGGTTGCCACACTGAGCCAGCCATCTTCACTTCACAAGCAGAGGAGATCTTCTCAGGGTGGGGAGGGATCTGTTCGTTAAAGTCCAAAGCTGAGAAGATTTCACACCTTTGCTGAGACGAGGGCAGAAATGTGATGTAGAACCAAGTTTTAGCTTAACATAGGCACTGCCTTTCAGATGAACAGCTGCCAGGTGAGTCAGGGAGTTTCTTACCCAGGAGTGTTCAGCAGAGCAAGGGCTGGCAGTCACGGAGGGGTGGGCTGGCCTAGGCTCCCATCTCAGCTCCCTGACTGAGGTAGAGGGCAGGGGTCTAACAAGACCATTAGGGCAGCTGTTATACCATCACTGGAGCTTGTCACGTAAACAGTTCAGAGTCTGTAGGGCTGTTCTGACAGGAAGCCTACATATTTGTTGCTGCCCAGGTAGGGGTGAGGGTGCTCTGGGCTCAGATTTGTCCTGCATTATGCAGCTTATTAGGAAAAGGAAACAAAAAAGGTGAGGACACAGAAAGTAGGGAGAAGAGGAAGGGGAGGGAGCATTGGAAAACGGCACCTACCACTGACCTGACCTTGCTCTCTGGCAGGGCCACTTACACACTTGGTCACGTGTGACCCTCACGTGCCTTTCTGTGGTGCTCTACGAGTGATGCTCAGAGGTGAAGTAGCAGCCAGTGAGGCCCACGTGTGGCTGCCCACCAAGCCTGCTCTATCTGGAGCATCCCACGGCCTTCTTTGGAGTGGGCAGAGGTCATTTCTCACGGCCCTCACCTACTCCTGCCTTCAGATTTCCGCTCAATCTCTGTTTGATTTGTCCAACCTGTGGGGTTTATTAAAAAAAAAAAAGTGGGGTGTTTGGCTCCCTCTGCTGGTCAGATTAGCCAGCAGCTATTGCTTGTAGTAGGCACTTTACAAATTAAAAAAAATCAATTGATACGGGATAATTAATTGTACATAGTCATGCTGTACAATGTGATGATTTGATACATGTGTACAAATCTAATTAATCAGCATATCCATCAGCTCATATATTTATAATTGCTATGTGATGAGAACCTTGAACAGCCTCTCCCAGCCATTTCGGAATACATAATACGTTACTGTTAACAGTAGTTGCCGTCCTGTGCACTTACGCACTAGCACTTGTTCTTCCTTTCCACTTGCAATGCCTTTTTGGAATGCTAAGAAAATCCCTGCAGTGCAGGAGGTCTGGAGAGCATTCCAGGAAGGGCGTTTCTGGCACATGGAATGTGCTCCTTACACCTTTGATGAGCAGAGACCCAGTGGCTCCTGGGGGAAGAAGGAACCAGAGAGGATGGAAGTGAACTGGACCAGCACTCCTGGCCACACCTGCGAATCTTACGCTGCAGGCCTCAAAGCCTCTGCTTGTGTCATTGTAGGTTTGATTTATATCAGCTGTGCTCATTCTAAGCTGCACTTATTAATCACTTGAGAAGTTTTTAAAAAATACTGATGACTCTTAGGCCTTTAGAGACTCTAACTTAGTAGGTCTGAGATGGGGCTGTGCACAGTGTATTTAAAAAGCTCCCCTGTTGATTTCAGTGCGATTCTTGAGGCTGAGAAAGATGTGGGCTATTTTTCTGAACCTTTCTTGCTCTTATTGCCTACTATTCAGAGGATTTTTTTTTGTGGAACTTCATTACATTTAATGTGCACTCTGTGGTAATAGAGGATGTTATTTTACTATTAGGACAATGGGCTGATATTTGTCACCAATAAACCTAAAGATGGATCCTGATGTTTGCATCCTGAAGGAGATCCAAACAACAGGCCAAGGGAGTTAGATTTGTTTCCCCTGCCTCGAGTGTAATTAAGTGCTCATTATAAAGATAGCTGTACCAGGGAGACGCAAACGAGTGATGGGAGTTTACCTCCCAGTTGCCATTTGGTTGGGGTGACCATCGTGTTGTTCCAGTGCTTAAGAGTGCAGTATTAACGGAATAAACATGGGGAGTCCATCGGGAGAGAAAGTGCAGCCCACTCAGGGGCTGATTCCAGGCCTCTGGACTTTTTCACATCCACAAGCACGATTACTTCATTCCCTTCTCTATTCATTCAGTCTTCTGTCCATGAAACGTTAACACTGATGGAGGAGAAGAAAAAGGAAAAATGATCTACTCGTTAGATTGGGCAGCTACTCTTTGGACAGACCAGTCACAGCGAGTTATTCCTATTAGAAATGTCCAGAGGCCAGGCATTATCCTGAGGTGCTTTTCTAATGTCTCCATACTAGGAAAAACTTTTTCTCAAAGAGCATTTAGGTAAAGGACATTTTAGAATTTAGAGTTGTGCTTGTGCTGGCGGCCTGGACTAACCCCCTTGCCCTGGGCACTCTCTCTCCCTGCACTCTCTGGCCTGGCCTTTGAGCATTCACAGGAAGGCTGCTAACTGGGCCTAGGTGAGATTGCTGCCAGATGACATGACTTCTGGGTTGGATTAGCAAGAAACCATGTGGAACAATAACATCGGTAAAAAGAATCACCATTGATTGAGTGCTACCACATACCAGATGTGATGCCATGTACACCTGGGGCATAAAAATAGGTCACATTGCTGTACTTTTCATTTCATTGTTCAAGGCCTACCTCCATGTGATATGTACCTTCCCTGACTTTTCCAAGAACATTGTGCAGCATGAAGGGTTTGATAATGTTCCCAAATCTACCCACTCTGTCGGAAGGAGCTTGATCTTCGTGGTTATCACAAGGGAGGGATTGGATTGATCCTGTGTAAATTTAGCCCCATCTCCTGAGTGGCCAAATCTTCAGACAGGTTTCAAAGGGCATAAAGAATCCTGTTATTGCACATCTGAGTGTACTTTGTGGCCTTTTGCTTGTAATAACTAGGAAGTATAACTTAAGTGTTCAGAGAGAAAAATCAGGCATCAATTTCAAGGTGATAAAGCTTACAATGGTTGCCATGCAGAAGACTCTGGCAGATTCTCTTGGAGGAAAAAATAGGCCTCATTTGGCAGTGTATCATATATGTGTACATAATTTAATGCTCATAACAATCTTGCAAAGTAGAGTTCATCTTATAGCTAGGATTTTATCAATAGTGTGATAGTAATACAAATTGACATTTTCGTAGTACCTTAAGAATTGTACTAGGTTGCATATAAAGAAATAATACACTATTAATAATTCTTACCATGAGACCATGAGGTAGATTTTGCCATTCCATGTAACAGACTGGGAAGTCAAGTCTGAGAGAAGTTAAGTAATTTGCTCATATTTCAGTAGATTCAATAGCACATCTTCTTGATTTCCAAAGCTATTTCCACTGCATACATTTACACGCCCTGACTGAGGAGAGGAGGGAAGGGAAAGGTATTGAAAAGGGGATTACAGTGTATTATATACATGTACCAACTTCCTCAAAGGAAAGCAAACATCACATACTGAGCACATGTACTAATAAACTATGATTAAAAAGTGTACCTACCATATTTACATGTGCTAACACATTCTAAAGAAGGTGAGCTATGTTCTTCCATAGGATCTGGATCTGAAAAGGGCAGTGAAAACATTCCAGAGATGTCCAGGCTGCTCCTGTCACAGGGAGGGAGATGATGGAAGATGGCCCTTCCTGCCCAGGGACCGAAGGGTGAAGCATCAGAGTCATACTGCTGACCACCAATTCGGGCATGGAGAATATGTCAAGAGAAATATTTGTTAGAGAAACAAAGTGCTCTGCCTTGGTTCTGAGAAAATGTTAAAAACAATACATTATCAGAGAAAGGACAAATTTCTATGATTTGCAGAGGTCAGAGAAGGCAGGGGCAGATTTTGACTCAGGGTAGGAACAACTTGCTTCCTACTAGTCCTTGACTCTAGGACAAGATGCACCAGTCTGTGATGATAAGGTTTCCTTCCCACCACGTAGGAAAATTCACCTTTAAAGGCAAGCATCCTTTAAAATTGCTGCAGTTCTAGTTATGCCTCTAGATGGCACCCAAGTACTTAGGTTTCAAAGGAACACAGCAGGTGGTTTCGGGGCAACCTCTAACTTGCTTTCATTGTTTTCCAAGGTCAGGGTGTCCACTTATGGTTAATAAAATATCAGAGAGCAAATGCATTCTCCTTTACTTTTAATTCATCCATGTATACCTTCTCTCAGCCTAAAAAGGATTTGAGGGTGCACTTATAGTCTGGTGCCCTGTATTATGGATACTTGAGGCAGGCAGCACAGAAGCCCTTGAAGCAGTCCTTCGAAGACAGTAGCACCCTCCTTTCTGGATCCCTGTGCAGAGGGTGAGGCTTTGGAACAGGCAGGATCCTGGCACAGCCCTGCCTTGGGTAAAGCAGTTTCATCTTAAGTGACAATTGTTTTCTTTAATTCTTCAATTGTTTATTCCTTTGTGTCCTTACTTATTGTATTCTCCTGAGACACAGGTAGGTGGACACAATGGAGGTAAGGCAAGGGTCACAGGCATAGCCATCAACATTATGTGTGGGGAGGTCTTGAGAAATACTGAATCTGAAATACGCCAAAGACGTGACAATCAACAACCTAGGAACACAGGAAGTGAGGCACAGTTTGGGAAAGAGACATAAACGTCATCTTGGGTTTTCTAGGTTTGGATAGGGCAGGGCTGTGTCATTCCACTGCTGAATCAACTTTGAGTTCTGGGTAAGAAGAAGTTCAGGGGATGGGACTGAGCCTGGGATAACTGAGTTTTGAGCTGGATCAGAAGCATCTCTCCTCCCCATCACACCTGCCTCTTAAGATTGTGTTTTTATTCAACACATATCTGAGCCCCTTTCATGTTGTAGGTATTGGTAGAGGCACTGGGTGAGGATATAGCTAGAATAAGACAAGATTACTGCCCATGAGCTTATATTATAGTAGAGGAAATAAATACTACTACTACTAATAATAATAATATCACTTGAGAATGCTATGAGAATGGCAAACTGGGAAAATGATAGGGAATGTTTGAGATTGATTTCATGTAAAGAGTGGACACAGTAGGCTTTTCAAGGGTGACACTGAAGTTAAAACTGGAACCATGAGAAATACTAGCAACCCTAATTTAAGAAAGTACAGCTAATGGCAATTAATTTCCCTAGCAAGAATTGAGATTGTATGCATAATTAGGAATGGGGATTAAAAGTAGGAGAAAAAGCAAAGGGATGAGTTGAAACATTGAACATGTTAGTTGACTTGTATCCCTATCTTGATAAACAGAATGGCCTTTAGCCAGTGTATATCTTAGCAAAGGCCAACCAGCTAGGTGGACTACAGATAAATAAAATAAAAATTTCTTATAAGTGTCATTGAATGAGCCAAATGTGGGATTCTACAATATTAAATTATCTTAGTCACTTTCTTGTTACTTAGACATCATAGCCAATATCCACAATTTGAAGGAGGAATATTTTATGTTACTTCACGTTTCAGCCCATGGGCAGCCAGCTCCAAAGAAGAAACAGCATGGCAGAGAAGGCCTGGTGGAAGAAAAGCTGCTCACCTCATGGCAGCCAGGAAGCAGAGAGAGAGAAGAGAGGAGCTAGGGAAGGGCATACACTCCTCCAAGCCGTGCCCCCTGTGATCCACTTCTTCACGTCAAGTCCCATCTTAGAACAGCACATTTAACTATAAATTCATCAGTGAACTAATCTAGCCATGAATATAGCACTCTCATGATCCAGTCACCTCCCCGAACATTGGGAGACATCCAGGTATAAACCCTAACATGAATGTAACTACTGTCTGGCTTCATAAAGCTTTACATATCCTGGTGCTCTTTTTGGGGAGGGGTGCTCCAGGAAAAGGCTTAGTTTCCTGATAAAGTCCGATTGCCCCTTAAGTGTCACTCAGCTAACAGAGATCAGATTTCACTGTTTTCTTCAGTTTTAAATATATATTGGCCAAAATGATTGTAAGATACTTGGGGAAAATCTGCAATATAAAGGAGAAAACCCACAAGTAGAAGACAGATACCAGAAACAAATAAATTTAGATGAATACAAAATTAAATAAAAAAAAATTTAAAAACCTTTTTCTGTGCCAATAATTTCAGAAAAGGCAAAACACTAATAGAAATTAAAGAATTAGAACAAATTACTGGAGGTTAAAATTTGGATTTTTAAAAATGTAATAGGAAAATGTGAAGAATCCAAAAATGTCCTGTGCACCATAAAAAGGTGGTGAGGAAGGGAATCCCCACCAGAATCCAACCACGGTGGCTCCCCGATCTTGAATTTCTACCCTTCAGAACTTTGAGAAATAAAAGTTTATTGTTTGTGATTAACCAAGTCTACACTATTTTTTAATGACAGTTCAAACTAAGACAGATGAGTTGATGGAAAATGGAGCAGAGAATTAGAAAGTGAATAAACATTTCTCAAAAGAAGACTTAAAAATGCCCAACAGATATATGAAAATATCAGCTTCACTGATTACAAAGGAAACACAAGTCAAAACTACAAATACCTCATCCCAATCAGGAAAGCTATCATCAAAAGGAAAACAAAACAAAACAAACAAACAAACAAACAAAAAACAAATGCTTGCTGAAGATGTTGAGAAAAGAGAATCTTATGAATGGTTGTTAGGGTTGTACATTAGGATAGCCAACAGGGAAAATAGTTTAGAAGTCACTCAAAAAACTAAAAGCAAACTACAATATGATTCCCCTAATATACATGGGATTGTGCAAAGGAAAGTAAATGATTATATCAAAGAGACACCTGTACTCCCATGTTTATTACAGCAGTATTCATAATAGCCAAGTTATGGAATCAATGGAAGTGTTCACCAATAGAAGAAAGGAAAAAGAAAGTGTATATATGCACAATGGGGTATTATTCACTCCGGTCAAAGAATAAAATACTGTCATCTGCAGAAACGAGTGAAATTGGGGGACTTGATGTTTAGCAAAATAAGCCAGATACAGAAAGACAGATACTTCACATTGGTATGCTTATGTGGAAGCCAAAAAGTTGATCTCATAAAAGAGAGTGTAATATAGTGATTATTAGACGTTAGATGGGTAGGAGGAAGAAGAACAGAGGGAGGTTTGAATGAGTACTAAAATATTTTTAAATAAGAGGAATAAGTTCTAATGTTACACAGCATAGCAGGTGACTACTATTTACAAAAACCTATATATTTAATAAAGAAATAGAAGAGAGAAGTTTGAAATTCCTAGACACAAAAGATGATAATTTTAAAAGGAGTTAGAAGTGTTAATCACCCTGATTTAATCAACACACGTTGTATACATGTATCAAATAATCACGCAGTACTCTGTAAATGCATTGCTATTGTATGTCAATTAAAAATAAAGTGAAACAAACAAAACAGAATTGGAGCTGTACTACTCAGCTCTACAACTTTCATGTTGACATATCTTTTTTCATCTTTTTTAGGGTGATGCTTTTTTGCCATTTTGAATCCATAAAAAGAAGTCAAACTTGCAAAATACTCAAGTGAACTCAGGAGAACACGAGAGAGGCAAGCAAATGGAAACCATCCAAACTGATTCAGAGTGATGAAGGCAGCGAGCCACATAATGGGGTGTGGAAAGATATAAGACTGGTGGAAACGGGCCTAAAATATTCAGATTATATCCACAGAAAGAGAAAAATCGTGTGAAGAGAAAATGGAGGACAGTTTCCCAAAAATTTATGTTCTGTAAATAGGATCATACAGTATGTACTTAAAAAAAAGATTTTATTTGGCTTTTTTCACCCAGCATACTTATTTTGAAATTCATTCAGGTTGTTTTGTGTACCCCTAAGTTCATTTCTTTTTGTTACTGAGTAGTGTAACGTCGGATGTGCATGCCAGTTTGGCTGCCCATTCACCTGTTGATGGACATTTTTCTTATTTCCACTTTATAGCTATTAAAAATAAAACCAATATAAATACTTGTTATGTCAGTCTTTGTCATAAATTTCTTTTTCCCAGGTTAGAAACCTAGGAATGGATTGACTATATACCATCATAGATGCATATTTAGTTTTTTCTTTAGCTTTTTTTTAGTATATGGTTGCAATAATAAGAAAACCATTCATCATGGGATATATATATATATATCTCCAATATATACATATATATACACAATATATATACATATATATATATATATATAATTTTGATGATTTTCATTTCCTCTTCCCCACATTTCACCCATTTTCTCCTATCCCCAGATCCTTTTCTTATTTGAACAAAATTTATGTCCATGTTTCCTATAATTTATTTTATATTTTTCTTTATATTTTGGGTTTCTTATATAAGAGAAACCATGTGGTATTTAATCTTCTGTGTCTATTTTATTTCACTTAGCTTTATAGTCTCTTTCCTATATAAGATACAAATTGATCTTTCTTTATGGCTGAGTAGTACTCCACTGTGTACATTTACCACTTTTTCTTTGCAGATTGCTTCAAAGACTTAGCTATTACAAATCGTGCTGCTATAAACATGGGTATGTTTGTATCACTGTAATATGTATTTAACTATTTTAAAAAGATACCCAGGAGAGGGATAGCTAGATTAAATGGAATCTTCATTTTAGTTTTCTGAGAAATCTCCATACTGATTTCTATAGTCCTTGTACTACACATTCCTACCAACAGTACAGAAAAGTTCCTTTCTCCCACAAACTCACTGGCACTTTTTTGAGTTTGGGATGATAATCATTCTTTCTGGAGTAAGAAGGGCTCTCCATGGTTTGATTTTCATTTCTCTAAGGGCAAAAGATACTGAGGAATTTTTCATATAATGCCTAGCCATTTGTATTTCTGAGAAGCATCTATTCACTTCAATAGCCCATTTTTATTAGGTCTTTTATTTGGGTGGGGTCTAATTTTTTGAGTTCTTTACATATTCTAGATATTAATCTTCTGTCTGAAGACAAGCTGGCATGCTTTTTGTGCTTGTTGTTTTATTTTGCATTCTGTAGGTTGTCTCTTCAGTTTGTTTGTTGTTTCCTTTGCTGTGGAGAGTCTTTTTAACTTAATATAGTCCCATTTGTTGATTTTGTTATTTCCTGTATAATTTGGATTCTGTTCAGAAAGTCTTTACTTATGCCTATTTTTTCAATAGTTTTGCCATTTTTTTTTCTTCCAGTAGATTCAGTGTTTCTGTTTTTATATATAAGTCTTCGGTCCATTTTGATTTGTATTTTAGTGCAGGTTAGAATAGATGTAAATTCATTTGTCACCATAGATTACTAGTTTTCTAGCATTATTGGTTGAAGAGACTATCTATGTTTTTATATAAGTCTTCGGTCCATTTTGATTTGTATTTTAGTGCAGGTTAGAATAGATGTAAATTCATTTGTCACCATAGATTACTAGTTTTCTAGCATTATTGGTTGAAGAGACTATCTTTTCTCCAGCATATTTTTTTTACCTCTGTGTCAAAAATCAGATGGCTGAGGTGCCTGGGGTTGTTTCTGCATCCTCAATACTGTTTCATTGACTGATGTGTCTGTTTTATGTATCGTAATTTTTAAAAATTACTGTAGCTTTGCAATATAACCTGAAATCCAGAGTTGTGGTGGTGCCTGCTTTGCTCTTGCTGCCCAAGATTGCTTTTGCTATTCTTGGTCTCTTCTGTTTCCACAGAAATTTTAGGATTGCTTTCTCCAGTTCTGTGTAGAATGATGTTGGTATTTTGATTGGGATCACAATCTGTATATCATTTTTGGTAATATGGACATTTTGACAGTATTTGTCCTGCCTATACAGAAAGTTGTTTTTCCAATTTCTTATGTCCTATAGTTTTCATTGTCCTATAGATTCAGAGTATCAGTTTTCATTATAGAGGTGGTCTACTTCTTTGGTTAGATTAATTCCTAGGTATTTAATGCTTTTGAAGCTATTGTTAATAGGATTGCTCCTGATTTCTTTCTCAGTGGGTTCATTTTTAGCGCATAGGAACACTATTGATTTTTGTGTACTGATTTTATAATCCCTCTCCTCCTTCTCCTTCCTCTTCTTCTTCCTCATGGTACTAGGGAATGCAGTGAACCCATGACCTTCACACCTAGCTATATATACATTACATTCCTAGATCTTTTTTATTTTGAGGCAGGGTCTTGGTATATTTCTAAATTTCCCAAGCTGGGCTAAAAGGTGAGATCCTCTTGTCCCATTCTCCCAGAGTGCTGGGATTAGAGGTACATGTCACCATACTAAGTTATATATCTTCATTTCTTTAGAGTTCATTTATTCTGGAGATTTATTTTGTTTCTTTGTTCATGTTTCCCTGTTACTTCATATGCTTTTAACTTTCTGTTGGGATCTGCATATTTGGAAAAAAAAAACACCTTTCTCATTTTTCACAGACTGGCTTTGTACAGAAAAAGATTTCATTAATGAGCCAACCTTTGGGATTAAGCAATCTTTTAAGCCTTCCTATGGATGTGCATTCCCTGAACTTGTGCATATAAATCTCAATTAGAGGAATTTCCTGATTTATTTTTTTTCAAAAGTTGATAATCCCTTGTTCCCCTTTTTGTCTGTGTAGTGCTACCAATTCTCTTAGCTGATACAACCCAACTTGTCTGCTTTTCCCAGTGGCATTTAGAGTTCTATAATATGCTAAGTCCCATAAGTACTCTAAGTTGACCATCACAGAACCCAGTAACTTAGGACTTTGAGCACATGCTCCCATCTCCCTCCAACATGCCCTATTGCACTAAGGGGAAGAACATGGATTTCTATTGGCCTCTGTCTATAATCACAGGCCCTTTGAGCATCAGCAAGCCACCCAGCTCTTTTGTTCTCACTCTGACAGCCTATCAGTGTTAGTTCTTTCTTTTCTTTTGACGATGGCACTTATTCTTTTGACATTACTCAGTGATCTTGGCTCATTTTGTGTATTTATAGCTCCAGTCCTAGAGAAAACCATTTCTCCAATGAGTCTTGATTCTGTTTATCTAGAATGGTATTAGAAACTAAGACATAAGCACTCTTCATATATGTTGTTTTTTTTAAGGCCATCTCAAATGCTAAACAAAGAAATATATGTGTATACTAACCCAAATGTAGGCACATTTTTAAAATTTTTCTTTTCTTATTTTTAATTTTCCCTTCCTTCCTTCCCCCAGCCCCCAGTTCCCCATTCCTTTTGAACAGTTTCTTCCTATTACACAATATCTATTATACAGTTTGGTCCTTATTTAATGTCGTGGAAGGAATTGGTAAGTGACATGTACAGAGAAGCAGAATGGAAGTAAAATAATAAAAAGTTTATTTTGCTAGCAAAGGTTGATTGCGCTCAAAAAGGCAGTGCCAGTGATGGACCTTGTACTGGGTTGCAGCTTCCTCTTTTATAGGTTTTACAGCTTTGATCTCATGCAGGTGATTTCATTTCATTTCCTCAGTTCATGTTACCCATGTACAAATTACATTAACAAGGCAGTTCGCTTTAACCCAGGTGTAACAGTTCCTTGTAGTTAGGGAATTTACCTTAAGATTCACCTAGCTATCTATTCTAGTGCACAGGAAGGGGGTGTTCAAGGTCAGGGATGAGGCCAGATGTCCCACTTCATGGTCAATGCCTCCAGTGTCTGTTAATTTTGAACTAAACAAAGCAGATTGCTGTTAGAGATAGCAGAAGTCATTTTACATTTTCCTAACATTTTGTAGGTTTTTAGATGATTTGCAAAAGTTTCTGTATCATTTACATTTTCAGTTTCTCATACCAGAGAGACAATGTGATATTTACTCATGTGTGACAATTTATTTCACTTGAGTATCGTCTCAAGGTACATCCATTTACCTAAAAATGTCTCAAATTTATCCTTCTTTATGGATGAGTAGTAGTCCATTGTATAAAAAAATCACATTTTTTATCCATTTATTGGTTGATGGGTATTTGAGTTGTTTCCAAGATCTAGCTATTATAAACTGTGCTGTTATAAACATGTGTGTATGTATATATATATATATATATTATATATATAATATATATATATATATATAAATTGGTGTGGTATGATGCTTTGAATTCTTTCAGAAAGATACTCAGAACAGAAAATTACTGTGTCAAATAAGATCATTAACCCTACCTTTTAGAGGAATCTCCACAATGATTCCCACAGTGGTTATACTAGTCTACACTCCTACCAGCAATGGAGAAGCGTTCCTCTTTTTCTTTTTCCACAGCCCTGCCAACATTTGTTGTTGGTTGATTTCTTGATAATACCCATTCTTTCTGGATTGAGGTGGAATCTCAGCATTGTTGTAATTTGCATTTCTTGAATGACCAGTGATGTTGAACATTTTTTATATATTTATTTGCTATTTGTACTTCTTCATCTGAGAAGTGTGTATTCATCTAAGACACCCATTTTTGGAATGGGTCTTTAAATTTGGAAGGTCTGATTTTTTAAAATCCTTAATATGTTCTAGACTTAGTCCTTCAACTGAGGAACAACTGGCTAAATTTTTCTATGTGTAACCATCTATATGTTAATCTCAACATAAATTTCAAACTTATTACCACATAAACCATTCTAATGTCACTTTCTTTGTTTATCTGTAAATTCCCCCACTGGCAGTGAAACACCTGGCTATCACTATCAATCACATTCTTATTTGTTTGTTCAATTTTAGTATATACATGAATAAAATATTCAAAATTATTAACCCATACCCTC